ACTCTGATCTCCAGTTAACTACCAACAAAAGCCAGAAGTGGAGTTGTGGCTTAAGTAGTAGAACACTACCTTGAGCACAAAAGCTCAGGGACAGTGCTTAGGCCCTGATTTCAAGTCCCAGGATCAGCACAAAAACAGAAGCCAAGATCATGACAGTCTTAGAAATTATATATTTTACTTCGGAATAGTCCCCACATGTAGGGATTAATGGTGTGAGATACCAGTGCCCAGCTGGAAGAGCATCTTCTAAGCAAGCATGTGGTTCTAAGTTCAAACACTAGTGATATACACACCGAGATAAAACAACGGGAGAAAAAGTTTTAACTTCAGAACTAATTTTGAGAGGTATGGGCATATTTTTACAAAATGAGTACTGAATTTGAGTGAGAAAGAAGAAATATACCCTTTTCCCTGGCAGTAATTCTAGTGTTACTGAAACAATTAATCATTCATGAACACATCTTAGCAATTCAGCTATTAAAGTTAACAGCAGTGATTGCTCTGTTTCTCATCATTAGGGGGGTGCTTCCCTTATGCAGCTGATATAACACGTAACAACCCAACATGGTAGAGTTAAATTATATATAACTCAGTAATTATTTATTTATATCTTTCCAGAAGGATTTGAAACAGCTAGATTTCCATCTCTAGGGCTAAGAAATAGAATATCTCCTAGTGTAAGAAGTGTGTTATTTGGAGTACTTAATATCTAAACATGAACTTAAAGCAGTGAGGATCTAAACTGTTGTAAAAGGCAATAATTAATTAGTATGTTGCACTGAGATTATCACTTCGTAAAGTACAACTGATGGGGAAGAGTTATATATTTTAGTAGTAAAAGAAGTAAAGTCTACATATCAAAATGATAATTTTTAAAAGTGATTTATTTATCACTACATTATTTTAAGTAATGCTCAAAGTTATAATTTGTATTTTATGTGACTCATGAATAATTTATTTCCCTCAGATCTTCCTTATAAATTTTAAGACATACAGAAAGCAAATAAAATTACAAAACAACTGTTGAGTAACTTGAAGAGATGGAATTTCTACTTTCTGGGTGATTATGCATAAATCCCACCTCCTCTTTATTAAGACAATGAGTAGAGCATTTCTCATCTACAGCATCACCTGAAGCAATGGTTACAACGCAGACCACTGGACTATGTCACCAGAGTTGCTGATAATGTAGTAGGTTTGGGGTAGGTGATTATGTATCTCACAAGTTCCCAAATGATGCTGCTATTGGCTGCCTAAAGATCATACTAGAGAACTACTGCTTAATACCTATTACAGACAAGTATAGTTAATTAAATCACTTGTAAACATGTTTCAACTTCCCATATTCATTCTGCTAGACAGTTGCTTAGTTGTTCAGGGGTGGGGTGGCAACTAATGGAGAGAGATTGAGTGGGCAAATACAGTCATTATAGTCAATGTACATATATGAAAATGGAACCAGGTAACTTGCGGGCATGGAGGGCTTGGGAGAGATGCAGGAGAATGAAGGAAGGGCTGACATTGATCAAGATGCATTGTACTCATAGAGTAACAAATTGAGATTCCTTTATACAACTATTTAAGATGATAAGAAATACTGCTACCCAGTGGACTGGCTATAGAACATGGAAACATACTAAAGTAAGGAGGCCAGGTCTGGCTGGAGCCATATTGGCCACACGCTGGATGGTAGGTCCTGGCATCTTGTCTTCATGCTGGGAGAAGGAAACCCCCCTCAATCACCAGCCTCCCAGGTAATGGGCATGCCCAGACTCCTGGAGGCAGGGGCAGGCACTTGTTTGATAGGTTACTGAATCCGTCAGTCTTGTGTCTGGGACTGGGAATTTCCTGAGGATTTGCCCTCTGCGCCGACCTGTTTAGGCCTGGACCAGCCTAGCTGCTGGACTCCATACCACATGTGTCTCTGTGATTGTGTCCTGTGTCCTGTCTCCTGGCTCATCTCCAGTCATCATGGAGTCCCAATTCAGCTCTCCACTGGAGCTGAATTGGCTTGTTGGTATGGTTCTTGTTATTTCTTTCCTCTTTAGCATGTTTCCTAGCTGTGTTATGTGTATTTGAGTGCTGCAGGCCTTTGTAACAACTGGTAGCCTGCACCTTGTTAACTGTATAATAAAGACTCTAATATTCTATATTTTATTTTATTTTTTTGGGTCCAGTCATGGGGCTTGTATTCTGGGCCTGGGCGCTGTCCCTCAGCTCTTCAGCTCAAGGCTAGTGCTCTACCACTTAAGCCACAGCGCGACTTCCAGCTTTTTTCTTTTTGCTTATGTGGTGCTGAGGAATCGAACCCAGGGCCTCAGGCATGCAAGGCAAGCGCTCTACCACTGAGCCAACTTCCCAGCCCATATTCTATATTTTAAAATGTGACTTCTGGGATGATTTACCTTACAATAATACTGACTGAAATAAAAGCTGGATTACCCAGCTAAGCAGCAAATTTTGTACTGAGATAATGAAAATATTCTAAGTTCAGAGTAAATATCTATTAATTATAACACTGAAGTATTTCAGTGTCTAATGGATCATTTTCTTTTATCAAGCATTGCTTCTTAAACAACAGGTTTTAAGAGTAACTTCTTAAAACTTGTTGTATGTTAAATGAAAAAAGAACTTTCACATTAAATGAGGCTATGTTTATTTCTCATGATAACTGGCTATCTATAATATCTAGACAGTTCTTAAAACAGAAGACTACTCAGCAACTAGATAAATTTAGTATTGCCCAATCCTAAAAATAATTGAGAAAGGATGAATTAAATTCAAATAACAGCAACTTTTCCACCTTTTTTTTTCATGAGCTAAGCATCATCCCAATTATCTCTTTTGGCAGATACTGATGTATTTAATTTTACCTATTGACTACTGAAAGAGAGGTCTATTTAAAAAATCTGAGAAAGGATAAAGCTGAGTATGCTTCTCCAATTGTTAAAATAATTGGTCTGTATACAGGACTGGTATTTTATATTTGGTGAATATATACATGATATTATCATGAACCAGAGCCTTCAATATTTTGTCGCACAATGTGGCCTTAAGAAAACCTACAAATGTACATAAAGATTTAGGAATGTGAATGGTTTTCCCCCTGCTTCCTTAGGAATCTACTTCCCTTATCTACACAACAGCAACAAATATAACTTAAAATATAATAGCCTGTGAGATAATTGCATTGATTCATAGACCTATGGACAAATGATACTATTTTTTTCTTTTCTTAATTTCATAAGCACTCTAGCTATGAGTCATTTTGGAGGGCACTTTGCACTATTTAGGAAAATGGCAGTTTGAAGATGTCCATAACAAGGTTATGGTCATGATTAGCCAGGTTCTTTAACCCAGAAATGTCAGAGATGCAAATGGCCACAGACAAGACATGGGCCTGTAGAGTTTCAGATTAAAAGAACAAAAGCAAAAACAAAAAACAACAAAACATATAAAATATTCCAAACAAGTATGAGCATAGTTTCAACTTTTATGCTGTAAGATTTGTAGTTAAACATATATAAAACTTTGAGAACATCAGGAAAACTACGTGAGTTTCAGGAAGTGCCAAGGCAGTTTGAACTTAACTGGCAGGTATACTATTCTCTGTAAAATGAATCAGCAAAGTGTTTTTTCTCATTACCAATGGCATGCAGGAATTAGACTAACTTATCCAATATCACACATTATTAATTAAAAATCCCTTTTATTTGGTGTTTCCTAAAGTGTACCATAGTGGAGTAAATAATACATGCCCAGTAAGCTTTTTTTATAATTTTAATAATTGAAGACAATGAAATTGTGTAACTGGCATATTCAACTAATATTTTCAATAAGTGTAAGATTTTTTTTCTGAGTGGATGTTGGTATTTATAAAAAGTATCTTTAGCTGGGAGCCAGTGGCTCATGACTGTAATCCTAGCTTTCAGGAGGCTGAGACCTGAGGACTGTGGTTCAAAGCCAGCTCAGGCAGGAAAATCTGTGAGACTCTTATCTCCAATTAACCACCAGAAAACTGGAAGTGGTGTTGTGGCTCAAGAGGTAGAGTGTTTGCCTTGAGCTGAGGAGGTCAGGGAGGGGCAGCGCCCAGGCCCAGAGTTCAAGCCCCACAACCAACAAAATAAAAGTATCTCTAATGACTTCCTTATACACAATTTAAGCATATTTTTACAGTTATAGAAATAGGATATTAAATCAGCAGAATCAAAGGAAATATTGCAAAACAGTGCTTCAAACAATTAATATTTTATTTTATTTTTATTTTTTTTTTGTTGGTCCTGGGGCTTGAACTCTGGGCCTGGGCACTGTCCCTCAGCTCTTCAGCTAAAGGCTAGCACCCTACCACATGAGTGTCAGCCCCACTTCTGGCTTTTTCTGCTTATGTGGTGCTGAGGAATTGAATCCAGGGCCTCACGCATGCAAGGCAAGCACTCTACCACTGAGCCACCTTCCTAGCCCCAACAATTAATATTTAGAAAAGACTTGAATGTTGGTTATATTAAAGGCTAGTAAGTTTTCAAATGGTAAAAACTTTCTTTTTTCTATATAAAAAGATGAAAGCGATACAAGCATATTGAGCTAAGCAAATGCATATTAAACCTTCACTTATTATGGTTTATTTTAAACTGTTCAAAATGTGTTTAAAGTGACAAAAGTTTAAAACCTATTTTTCTATCATTTGGCATCTATTACAAGAACATATTTCACAACTGAACATTTTTTTGAATGAGACAGACAATAAATGGTCTATTTTAGAGAATAATAAAGCTAGATTACAAGTGTCAGACATAAGATACAATTATATAGTAAGAAAAAGGGCAATCTCAACTAAAATGGATGGATTTTTTACATAGAAAAATGACATAACCATTTACACACAATTTAAAGTGAACCATTACATTTAATTAACAATTGCAATGAGAGTAATTAAAAATGCTCATTTAAAAATGTTCCTAGGAAAAATTTAAGAGTGGTCTCTGGTACTATTTGGTAAACTGTTAAGGAAGTGCACTACTTCCAACAATTTCCATTTTAGCTGAGTTCAAGAGAATGCCCAGTCTCCATAAATAAAATGTAAATAAAGGAAATGCATCAGAGAGTTGGAAGACAGTTCCATCAAGCTTCTGAAGAAATTTCTTGATTTCTGGGTCATCATGATCTATACATGAACTGTGCTCTTTCGTTTCTATTTGAAGAAGCTGCTCCAGAATCCACAAGAGAAAGAAAATATTTTCATAGCGTGTTACATCATAAGTGGCTTGTACCTACAAATAAACAACAAGACCCACTAAAAATGCTGCGAATGAACTTAGATAAATGCCGAATGAGAAGATTAAACATTTTAACAAAATAAAACATCTGGTGTGTTTAATCTATTCTTTCTCTCTGTCCCACTTTTGGGGGAGGCCAAGAACAAATAAGAAAATTTCTTTTATTTAAAGACTGTAGAAATATGACAAATACATTTGATACTTGATGGTTTAGATAGCTTTAAGTTTTTCTCTCTGTTTGGGAAACCCTCAAACGCAAATCCAAAATGTTCTCAAATCCACCAGTTTTTGAATGGCAATGGGATACCACAAATGGACAATTTCCACATCTAGACTTGTGACAAATCTGCATCACACTGCGGGTGTGCTAAATAAATGGTTCAAAATTATCTTCTGGCGGTATGTATAAGGTGTATATGAAATTCAGAGGAATTTTGTTTTTGACTTAGTTTTAACCCTAAGACATTTACACATAAATTTTTTAATTTAATTTTATTTTATTTGTGAACATACTGTACAGAGGGGTTACAATTACATGGGCAGGATAATGCGTACATTTCTTACCAAGCAT